GTCATCCACATTTGCTACTAGCCTCCATTGTATATCGCAAATGTCAGTTGGCATCAGCATCACCACAATCGGCCTCGAACCACCACCATCTTTGAGTTTTACATCACATTCTTAAGGGAAAAAAAAAAGAACTCATATATTTATTTTACACTCATCCAAATAATTTCAAAATATTTTAAAATCGTTTATATCAACTAAACAATCCTAAGCCATAGCAAATCAAAATAGGTTGATTTGAATGAAATGTTAAATCTTAATCAAATAAAATCAAACCAATCATTTTCACCAAATTTTTTTTCTAACTTCAATTTATTATTAATTATTATTATTATTCCAATTAGTTCCATATTTAATCTCATCCTGTTAACAATAATCTTAAAAAAATAAAAAAAAAAAATAATAGTGATCTAAAAATTATATCTCTTCCCAATAAAGAAAGATGGGATTTTTTTTGAAGGTTGAATGCAAGGAGAAGACAATCTATTAAGGCTTCATGTGGTTGGTTGAAGCTAGAAAAAATAATTGAACAAAATGATGAATTTTTTATATTTTATTATTTAGTTTTATGTAATTATAAATTATATGAATTTTTTAAATTTTATTTTATAAATATGTCGACTTAAAAATATAATTTTATTTTCATACACCGCATATATATATTACTTTATATCATGATATTTATATATCTAACGCTCAAAATTGTAATATTTCATGTCTATCACCCATAGATCGAATATAGGTGCGATGATTGAAATATTAAAATTTATATGATGGTATAGATGTTAGGAATGAAATATTGGAGAGGGTAAAAAAGATGGACCTAAACATAACTCACTAGAAAGCTGAATGAGCCGATAACTCACTTTGATTAAAAAAATAATAAATTATCAACAATATAATTTAGATTAATTTATTAAAAATAAGAATATCATTCCAACAAACAAAATAATACAACAAAATATTATTAAATGAGTCACTTATATATTAAAGGCGAGTTTGTGAGTCAGCTTGAACTCGACCCATATAATAAAACCAGTTAACCCGAATTCAAAATTTTCTGATTGAATAAGGGTTGGATTGACGAATTGGATCATTTATTGACACGCCTAATATATATCATACTTTTATATCATTTAGTTCTAATAGTATCTCTCTCAATTGCTTTGAATATAAGGAGTTGGCGCTTCAAAGATGCAGTTTTCGCTTGAAGGAATTTTCGCTTTCAATAATACATTCTGCATATAACTAAATATTTGGAATGAAAACTCCTTCATTTGATGCCATTGAAAGAGATGTTATTGAGGGCTTATTTGGTTGCTGAAAAAGAAATATAATGAAAAAAAAAAAAAAGAATATTTTAATTTTATTTGGATGAGTGAAAAATAAATACAAATGAACGTTTTTTTTTTTGTTTCATTTGATATAAAATAGCTATACTATGCATGAAAATGAGGACAAAAGTGGTGGCCGGCAGTCTGAAGTGGTGGTGGTGATCGGTGGAGAAGTCATCTTCTTCGTTGCTTTACTCTTCATTCTTTTTTCATCCAATTATCAAACACCAATTTTTTCAAAACCTATGTAAAATTAGATAAATTTTTATGTGCGGTCACCGGACGGTTCATAGGCGAATCAAGATGCGCCACGTCACCCGATATACAACGATACACAGCACCGGTACACAATTAAAAAAATGAAGTGACCCTTCCTGATTCGCCTCTTGACGTCGTCTGATGACCGCATAAAATATTTTTTCGTAAAATTAAAGACTAATTAATACTCACTTACCTCAAATCAAAGAAACCTTAAATTAAATAAGATAGTAATACTTTAGACTGTGTTGATGAATACATATATATAGAAGGGTTTAAAAATAAATTGATATAGAATAATGTGCTCGATTTTGTTAGCTTATGAAGTTGATCCAATTCATATGATCAGTAGAATCATTCAAAAATTTGAACAATAAATTATAAAAAAATTCAACGACGAATAAAAAGAATTTTAAAGCTCTCAACTTTCAGGAGAATTGAGGGAGATAAACTCAAAATACTGAGAGATGATTATAAGAGTTTTAGAGTTATAAGATTTTGATAATTATGAGAGAGAATAGAGAATAAGGCTTTGTGTGGGATAGTTTTCTTACTGTTTTGTAAAGCTGCAGTAGTTAAAATAAAATTTTAAAGCTATTCTAGAAGTAAGGCTTCGTTTGGGACGGCTTTTTTATTGCTTCCTAAAGCAGCTTTCTAGTATAAAAATTTTAATTTTGTACTATGAAGTTGCTTTAGGAAGCAGAAAGAAAGCCGTCCCAAACGAAGCCTAAATCTCTATTAAAAAATTTTTAGAAAGTAGCAAAAAAATAGTAGCCAACCAAAATTTATGATTGTGACCTTTAAAGTAAAAAAATTGTTCCGAATGAAGTCTAAGGCTTCGTTTGGGATGGCTTTTTTTCTGCTTCGCAAAGCAGCTTTTTAGTATAAAATGAAAAAAATTTGTACTAGAAAGCTGCTTTAAGAAGCATAAAGAAAGCCCTCTCAAACGAAGCCTAAGACTTTGTTTGGGACAGTTTTTTTGCTATTTTATAAACTACTTCATAAAAGCCGTTTTAGAAAACAGCAAAGAAATTGTCCCAAACGAAACCTAAGAGGGGAGGAGAGAGAATAGAAAAGGAGAATAATTTCAATGTAATTTAAATTAAAGTATGTCCAAATCAAAAAAGATAACTTTTGATGAGTAGATTCCAAATATGTGACTGTCATTAATTATGGGTTATTTAAGAAGTTTCTTCTAAGAGCTTAGGGTTAACTGGAAGCCATTTAATTGCAACCATTTTTATGAGAATAAAAACAGTACATTCAATTTTAGGTTTTATTTGATATGATTTTCTTACTGTTTCTTAAGGCCGTTTTTTAGTAAAATAAATAATTTTTTTGTACTAAAAAACTACTTTAAGAAACAGTAAGAAATCATTTTCAAACCAAGCCTTAATTCCAACAATTTTCTTAGAAAAAAATTTTTTTAGGCTTGGACGTTTTTCTTGATGCTTCTTAAAACAAAAAATATTTTTTTTACTAGAAAGTTGCTTTAAGAAGCAGTAAGAAAATCTTCTCAAACAATAATTTCAATAATTTTTTTCTTAAGAAGTTGTAAATAAAAATATATCTATGAAATAATAATTTTATTTTTTATTCATGTTGACTATAAATAAAAAATAAAATCATATAAAAACATTTTTAAAATTTGATACCAATATTCATATCAGTTTATCTCCAACCAAATGATGACTTTTAATAAATCATATCATTTTCAAAATATAATTTATAAATTTGATTTTATCACAACGACGCATGCAGATACAAACTAGTCAAATCGAGCTACGGTCACCCCCTAGCTTGAGCTTGAGCTCGATTAATTAATCTTGTCAGAGCTCAAGCTCGAGCTAAGCTTAACTCTAGGAGCCCGAACTCGAGTCGGCTCATGAGCCATCTTGACTAACCGAAACCAATAAATGATGCATGTCACCCTCTTCTTTCCCTTTCTCTTAAGACCTCACATCTAATGGCCCACACCTTTTCTTATAGAAATGACAACATATAAGCAAGGACTTTGACAATAAATTGCTTTATTATTTTGTTGAAACAAATGAAAATAATCAATCATAATTCATAATAAATGTTTTTTATTGTATTTTTTTTTCCTACTAGCGGCCAATAGGCAATGCCTTGCAATAACAATTTTTTCCTATTATAATAATATAAAATTTCATTTGAAATAGGGACTTCTTATTTATATAAACTATTTAAAATTTTAAAAATATATTACATATTGTCATTACAAACTATATAAAAAGGCCATAAAATATTTATATCAATGTAAAATAGTTAATTTTTTTTTTTTAATTTTGTTCTATAAAACTATTTTAAGAAGCAGTAAAAAAGTCATCATAAATAAAGAATCACAATGAATTAAAAATGTGCTAGATGGGTTCAATATGATAACAATAAAAATTATTAGTATTTTAATCATCAACCACATCAAGTTATACTAGAAATTATGTTAGAAATTGAAGAGAAAAAAAGGAGCACATGGCCAAAGTCCCATATATAAGTAGTTGGATCTCTTATATTTTCATTAAAAATTTTTACATTTTATTTATACATAGACCAAAGTTAATTATTAGTTTATGATTTAATTAATATAGTACTGATATATCATGAAAAAATTATGTTGACCGGGCATGAATCTCGAGTGAAAATCAAGTTGAAAACTTCAAAAATTAAATCATAGATCATTTGAACTCTGATTTCAATAAACTTACAGTCGAACTAAACGTCTCATAAATATGAACCGAATGACACTAAATTCGACTCAATCCGAACCCAAATGGGTCCAAATCGAAGAGTCGAAGCATATTTGGAAGAGTCAAACCATAGTTTGGATTATCAAACGGTTTTGAAACGTGACATGATTAAAGTCAAATTGAGCTGCTCGACAAGACCCTCCGTCACCAGACAACGGTCCTTCCAACCTCCATCACCCGCCAACTACGGTCCTTCCGACCTCCGTTGCCAGATAATGTTCTTTCCGTCCTCCATCGCCCACCTACTATGGTCCTTCTGACCAAACGAACACGTCAACAATGATTTTTCCTATTCCCACCATGTAATGCACTCCATATGATGTCTATTTGTTACATCAAATCAAGGCCTTTCCCTCGAGGAATTGCCTCATTTATAATCAACTACAAATACTAGTGGATTCATTCAAACTCGGTCAGGCCTCATGATTTTTCCCCTATTCATGATTTTCCACGTAAAAATTTTGGTGTCTCTTATAAATGTTGCACCCTTTATTTTATCTGATTGTGTGTTGAATCTTCGTACAAAACTAAGAGGTTAAACTATATATTTCTCTATCGTCCTGAATATTCCAGGCCTTAACATATCTAAATATTTAAATTAGAAACTTTCTAAACCGACATCGACTCCATTATGAACAATTTGTAGCCGAGAATTAATTTTTTAGAGGAATTATAGTTTTAATTTACATTCATTCAAATTTACAGCATTCAAATGTGAGCATGAGAATAAATAACTATCAGAAAGATGGCATCTCATGCATTTATTTATGGCACAAATCATAGAAAGCATCACCATCAATACTATATGATTCATAAAACATAGAGAAATAACACTTTAATTGACTCTAATTAACTGACAACCATCTGATAGCTATCTGTCTCATTCCTCCTATAGATTGCAGCAGCAACAACAGCCATTATTCCTCCTGCAAGCAAAATCACCCACCAGTTCTCTACAAGATCTGTAAACCCAAACAATTAGAAAACATTATTAGATTTATCAAGTCTATAGTTGTTAACATATCAATATTATGGTATGAGATTAAGGTTTCAAATTTTATACTAGAAAGTTGCTTTAAGAAGCAGCAAGAAAACCGTCCCAAACAAAACCTAAGATTTTCTTATATTGTTTTCTTCTCTTATCTGTATATATATAGACAAATTTGTCTCTATATAGTACAAATTCAATAAAAATAATTGAGAAAAACTGTAGGAAAAGATAATTTGAACAGCTTACATGGTACTGTCACTTGCTGCAGGGAGAACAAAGTATTCAGCTTTGGTTGGGGCTCAACCAGTAAAAGGTAGAAGAGGCCCATTACTCCAGTGTGGATTCTTAAGCTGCTGTAATTGGAAATCAGTGTTAGAAGCTCTCCATCTCTGATATTCAAAGAGCCAGGCTTTGGATAGCAAGTTGACATCCCTACAATGTAGCCAGCCTCATCTCCTGCTTCTTCTCCCTTGCCATAGAATGGATAAGAAGAGCATAGCAACTGACCATCCTGATAAATTAGATTACAAATTTCTTATCAGTTTATGAACCAAGCTCTTATTGCTGTGGTTCTCTACAGCTGTTGGTGTGGCTAATCAAGTCTTATAACTTTCTTTCTTTGATCAATTGGTGTCAACAACATAAATCTTTCTCTGCGATGTCTTGTTTGAGAAGGAAAAAATTTTGATTGAATGAAATTGTTGGTAAGGTGAGTGTCAGAAATTTTCAACGGTTTACCCACGGTTTTGGGTTCATTAATTTCCAGCTGTTTTAGTCGCTAGAAAATGGCCTCCAGTTTTCATTTCATATGTGGTTTATTTTGGCGGTTTATAAACAGCCGTCAAGCCACCGAAAATTTTACAAACCACCGGAAATTACCGCCAGTAATGAAAGATTTTCCTGTAGTTAGATAATTTAGAAGGACATTGAAATTTGTTGCTAGGGGTTTGAGCTTTAGAGGTTATTATCAATGTTGAACTTCTCTTACATCATAATAAATATCATCCTTCTGACTTTAAAAAAACTATCAAAATAAGACTTGCAAAATTGAGAGTAAGCTAACAAAGACAAAAAAGAAGAAATAAAACCCAAACAGTGTACGCCATTGATTACCTCTCCATATAAAGCTGAACCAACACCACCAGTATGCTGGTGAGCAACACCATAAATTATATCACCACCATGAGGAAGAACAACCTTAGTTCTCCTAACATCAACACATTCTCTATTAGCTTCACTAGATGAATCACATGAAGGTACACTGTACTCCACCTGCATTCAACCAAGTTTTACTCACCACTTACAAATTCTGATCAAATCCTACCACATGAAATTAAAATTTCAGCATTTCTTAACAAAATCTACATACCTTGCAGCTAAAAGGAGCATTCATAGCACTTGAGCCTGGTGGATAATCTCCAGTATCAGTCACATCAAGTATAAAGATCTTAACTGGCAAAATTCTTGGATTCCACTCAACCCACTTCACAGTGTACTTCAAATAGAGCTTCCTTACACCGCCATTAATGAATCCTTCTTTGACTCGGCACTGAGTTTCGTCATAGCAACAATGGAGACCTCCCACATAACCATTGGCCAGAGGTCTTCCATACTGATCTGAAGTAACATTATAAAGGCTACATTTGCATTCTGTGCATCCCAATCTATCCTCCACATTCCTTGTATCAATTGCATGAACATTCAGAAGCCATTTCTCCTCATATCCTTCTGGAATTTCCATAGGATTCCCAATTACTATACCATAAGGATCAGGTACCCAAGTACTGGTCTTCCTGGTTTCTGATCCAAGGCCAAAATACTGCCCAAGATTTCTGCAAGCACCAGAATTTCTTGCATAGATGAACTTTTCTGAATCGCCATCTTTGGCTTCTTTCTGAATATAGTATCTTGCTACCACCCAATGATGAAGGTAAGTTTCATGGAGGGGTATTGAGTTTCCATTCTCATCAACTACCTCTCCATTAAAGCTCTTTATAGCTATATGGCCTCTTGGGAAGGGAATATCATGATAGTACTTATCTTGTACAGAGCCATGCTTGAGATAGATTGGAGGGGATAAGAAGACAGAAGTTTTTACTGAGTAATTTTCTTCTTCAACTCTTCCAGCTGCAATGTAACTAGAAGAAGATAATAACATAATGGATAGCAACAGTACTATCCATAACTGAGAATACCACATTCTATTCCTGCAATTTTGAATAGATTTGAGAATGATTAAGCATTTGTTTTATTTGATTATAACTAATCCTCCACTTTCTGCATTTTTTAGCACAATCTCAACATTGAAAAAAAATTAATTGTGATAAGCTAACAAAATTATAGTTATCTTAAAAGGTCTAATACAACAACAACAACAACATCAAGCCTTTATCCCACTACGTGGGGTCGGCTAACATGAATCCTTTTTCTCCATTGTGAAAGGTCAAATTCTAGTTTAAATCTAATAAAGAAAGGTCATTCCTAATATTTTCTAACCAAGTCTTTTTAGGTCTGCCTCTACCTTTCTTAACATAAGTCCAATCTAATACCTCTACTCTCCTAACCGGGTCATTGGAAGGCCGCCGTTTTATGTGACCAAACCATCTAAGGCGATTCTCTCTAATCTTATCTTGTACTGGAGCTACTCCAATCTTTTCACGTATATGCTCATTTCGTATCCTATCTCTAAGGGTAAAGCCACTCATCCACCTGAGCATCCTCATCTATGACACACTTAACTTTGTATTATGATTCTCTTTTAATGGCCAGCATTCAGTATCATAAAGCATTGCAGGCCTCACTACCATCTTATAGAATTTTCCCTTAAGTTTGAGGGGTACTTTTTTATCACACAACAAGCCCGATGCATTCCTCAACTTCAACCATCCAACTTGAATTCTACTGATAATATCCCCATCTATTTCACCATCAATCTAAACAATAGATCCAAGATATCTAAAACGTGTACTCTTATTAATGACTTGATCGCCCAAAGTCACAATCCCCTCACTAGGTCTATTACAACTAAAATTACACTCCATATATTCCGTTTTAGATTTACTCAAGCGAAAACCTTTAGTCTCTAATGTTGACCTCCATAATTCAAGTTTACTTTCAACTCCCTCTCTAGTCATCTTAAAAGGCCTAATGATTGAAAAAAACTTTAATAATGATGATTTTATATTTCTACAAATAAAAACTAAAAGTAAATTTTAATTTATTTTTGTATGAGTTCTATAAACTGTTGTTACACTTCTATTTAATTAAAAAAATTCATGCTATTTAAAAAAAAATTATGATAATAAGGAGCTTTTAAAAATCAAAATTTTTAGTAGTTTGGAGATAAAAATTTATTTTTCGAATTTTTTTAAAGAGCCCATCATAGATTTTAAAATTTTTATTTTTCTCATAATAGAACCGGAATAAACATATAATTTTTCATAGAGTCCATTCTTATATCTTACAAAAATTGAAGATTAATCGCTTATAAATCCTAAAGTAAAATTTTTACTCTTTTGCTCGTTCAATGACATGAAATCTTTATTTGGGGAAATATCACATGAAATTAGAGTAGTAGTATTTAGTGTCAGTTAATTGAGGTTTCGTTTGGGATGACTTTTTTATTTTCTAAAATAGCTTTTTAGTACAAAAAAAATAAATTTTGTACTAGAAAACTACTTTAGAATGCATTAAAAAAGTCCTACCAAATTAAGGCTTCATTTGGGACGGCTTTTTTATTGCTTTTTAAAATAATTTTTTAATTTAAATTAAAATTTTTATACTAGAAAGTTGTTTTAAAAAGTAGTAAGAAAGCCGTTCCAAAAAAAACTTAAGCCTTAGTTGACAAAAAAATTAAAAAATTCTTATCGATATTCTAGAAATTAATTCCACTTACAAAACTTTTTTTTTTTTTTTCAGCACTAACTCAAAATAAAAATTAGAAAGAGAGAGAGTAATGAAATTTTTTCTTAATACAACAAATCTACATCATTGGTGTTTCCCAGAACTGGTGGATTGAGATATCCATGTAAAATTTTGGCTTTTTCCCTGGAAACAATTTATATAATCGCTATCTACCAAATTAAATAATATCTTAATTTGTTGTTATACAAATAAAGTCCTAAAACTCTGAAGCAATCCATTCAAACTGATCAGAAGTTGACAGAACTTCTGAAGCAACAACAGAAATCAAGCAAAAGCTATGGGTTCTTCGCTTTAACAGAAGCTTATCAATCATATAAAATCTGTTATATTTGTATATCTTTGTTATTTTTTTTCTTCATTTCAGACTAAATTTCAGCTTTATTAAATCCAAAACGAAGTAGGATTGAAGAGATCGATTTACAGTAACTTCTCTGAAGATCTGCAAACAGTTTACTGAAATCTGAACAGTTTCAGTGTTTAACAGATGAATCTACTGAATCCTCCAAACAACCCCTTAGATTTCCTAAATAATCACAGTACCATCAAGTAAACTACATCATTGATGTTTTACAGAACTGGTGGATTGAGATATCCATGCAAAGTTTTTGGCTTTTTCCCCTACCAAATTAAACAATATCTTAATTTGTTGTTATACAAAAAAAGTCCTAAAACTCAAAGCATGAATTATGCAATCCATTCAAACTGATCAGAAGTTGACAGAATCTCTGAAGCAACAACAGAAATCAAGCAAAAGCTATGGGTTCTTCGCTTTAACTGAAGCTTATCAATTATATAAAATATGTTATCTTTTTATATCTTTGTGTTATTTCTTCATTTCAGACTAAATTCCAGAACGAAGTAGGATTGAAGAGATTTACAGTAACTTCTCTGAAGATCTGCGAACAGTTTACTGAAATCTAAACAGTTTCAGTATTTAACAGATGAATCTACTGAATCCTCCAAACAGCCCCTTAGATTTCCTAAATAATCACAGTACTCATCAAGTAAACTTCATCAACAAGTCTTCTGAAAAACAAATATAACAAGAAAATTTCCAATCTTCTTGGCTTTGACTAAACCAAATGATCAAAAACTGTATAGAACTAATCATCACATGGTACATAGAAAAAGAAGAGGATTACTCACCTTTCAAGCACAGAAAATCACTGATTTTGTTATGAAAATAGCTAGCAGATTTCACAGCTGGGAAGAAATTCGGATTTACTTGTTCTAGTTCTAAGTATAAATAGAGCAGGAACAGCACCGCGTGGACTATTTTTTTATTACTGTGCATGAGATCATTGCTTACTTGCGTTTAGTAAAAACTATACTTTAAAAATAATATTATTTTAATTTTTCTGGAGCTTGATTTTGTTTTTTTATAGAATGTACATACAGTTTAAAAATCTGTATTGATTGCTAATTATTTCCACACAAATGATAAAATATTTTTAAAAAATTAATATTTTTTTAATCATGATTTCATATTCTGTACGAGACTTCCAGACATCTGAACTGTTTTAATATAAATTATCAGCCAGAAAGTCATTTGTATTTTTGGTTCTATCCAAACTAGCTGTTTATGATCTTTGCTGATAATAATCTGATATGGTTTTTTGAAGATAAAATAATAAATTCAAGAAAAAGTTTCTATAAACTGTGATATATGACTGCTTGCTACAATAATTATTAATTAACATAAAAAAGTTAAAATAATTAAGTTTTTCATAAAGATTTAAATTCTATCATACTACTTGTTGCGGGCTAGCTAGAATATACGCGGCGATAGAGTTATAATTATTTGTCTCAGCGTTGCACAGATATCCGTCACACAAAAAGAGAATTCAAAAATATAAGATTGTTTGTATAAAAAACCCTGAAATAAGTCGACTAGCGTTTGAATATATTACAAATACCTAGCTCGTTCCTGAAATTGAGAGCGATCATATTATAACAGTCAACTATCTTGTTGAAATCTAATAATGAATGAAGATCATATGGAAATTCGGCGATGTTTGGTGGTCGGGCGGAAGTCCTGTGACAATCGGTAGCAAGACGGAAGTCCGACAATAGACAGTGACCGGACAGAAATCTGATGGCACTAATAATAAAATTTAATTTGTGTGAATAAATTTTACTTTTTTTTTCTTGGTAAAATAAAAAGTTTTGATGATAAACTCTCCATTATGTTGATGGGAAGGAATACGTCGCCGTCACTTTCAGAGAAGACGAACTTACGATCTCGTATTGGTTGTCTTCTAATGGAAAATAGGTTGGAGGACGTGTTATTTTCTTGCTATTATGAACAGTATTGAAAAGTCGTAATGCATGACATCACAATACTTCTCCCCTTATCTATCTTATCTTCAATCTTCATACAATAACAGTATATATATATATATAATGCAGAAAATTTTCTTTGTAAATTAGTTTCCTAGACCACATTTTTTCGGTGGAAAAAATTTCATGGAAAATCCGCTGGAAATGATAAATTCCGACGAAAATGGCCGATTTCCGACGAAAATTTTAGTACTTGTAAGGTTGTGATAGGGTTTTAGATCGCAAAAACTAAGACACAAGAATTATTAGATGATTATAAAGGAGCCAACTTTTATTTTCTTTCTCTTATGAACAATACTGAAAAGTCATAATACATGACATCACAATATTGCTCCTTATCTATCTTATCTTCATACAACAATATATGATGAGAAAATTTTTCGGAAATTTGTTTACTAAATGCATTTTGTTGGTGGAAAAATTCTGTTAATTAGAAATATATCAGAAATGCTAAATTTCGATGAAAAATGTCTTATTTTCGATGGAAAAATACGTTGGAAATTGACAATTTTTGTGTATTGTGAAGCCTGACCAACTATGTAGGTGTTGAAAGAGATGGATGTAATGTAAGCTTACAACACAAATCCAAATTAACGAGACAATTATGGTGCAAATACGATTTTAATATATATTTGTAGAAGATGAATTTAGTTTGTGTAAGATTGTGATAGGGTTTTGATGCGGAACATTTTATCTTAAAATGTTATTTAGGATATTTGATTTAATTTGTTACAAGTTTGTTATATGTTTCTAGAATCTTCTAGGATTCTCTAGGTTTCTCTATTTGATTAGTGTATATAGAATGATGTAAGAAGAATATATGTATTGATGAATAATAATCTTTTTTTGAAGCTTGGTGCTTGTTCCCTACTACACAAGTATTAGTAAATGATTATAATTAAGATTAACTTATAATACATGTCTAAAGGCAATAATTATAACGGTGCCATCATGGTCATAATGTAATCCTTATAGGAGGACAACTATGGTATAGTTCATGAGGAAATATTTTCATATGTATACAAGAAAATCCTTGAATACTAAATACAATTCTCTCTCTCTCTCTCTCTCTCTCTCTCTCTCTCTCTCTCTCTCTCTCTCTCTCCCCCCATCTTTTACTTCTTTAAGCAACGAGAAGCCCTCGTATTCTTGAAAAATTATTATGTGCGGTCAATTCAGACGCGCCACATCACCCAATACACAATGCATTTGGTGATTTCACACGTCTGAACTCCGCACATAATAATCTCTCCTTATTCCTTAGCAACTCTAACTAATGATAGGCAGCATGCACACGTATGTGCACTTTGCAGCAACATCAATTCATGATGACAAAGCTAATTTTATTGGACACAATCTCTTATCCAATCAAGTGGCGCTAACTCACTATAAGACAATAAACTATATAATTATTAAAAAAAATATCCATTTTCAAGATTGATTAATAAATTCAATTCATTTTCAATAGTTCATTTATGTTGACGTTCAAAGAGCCTTAATTATTTAATAATCCATTATAATAATAAATATATCTGATGAGTTATAATATCTAATGATTTTATATATCCTTGTGGTTATTTTAAGAAGAATAAAAGGGGCAAATGTACAAAGCTCCTTTACTATTTTTTTCCAAAGCTTACACTTGTTCAACCATATAAGCCACCTAGCTTCTCATGTGGATAATGATTTGGGGTACTTTGATGTGTTGTTATTAAATGCTTTATAGTCTTATTTTTATATGTCCTTTAGGATGATTCAAAATGTTTGATTTATCACATAGAGTATTATATAATATTAATCAAATATTTTGTGGAAGGATTCATACTTGATACATCGTCAAAAAATTATGTTGATCGGGCACGAATCTCGAGGCAAAAGCTAGTTGGAAACTTCAAAAATTAATTTTGGGAGCACCCCAACTCTGATTTCAGCGAGCTTACAGTCAAATTGAGAGTCTCGGAAATACGAACTCGACGACACCAAGATCAACCCAATCCGAGCCCAAATGAGTCCAAATCAAGGTCTCAAAGTGTTGTCGGAAGGTTCAAACCGCAATTTAAGTTACCAAACGGTCTTCGATTTTGACGAACCTATACTCGAATCGAACGGCTCTACAAGAAGAATCCAACGAGCCCGAGATCGCCGAATTCCAACATCATTAAGGCCTCCAAATGTCCAACGGTTGGACGATCGAAGGGTTCACTATCGGCCGTCCATTCAAACCACTCCTTATTCGCCCTTGATCTCACACCTATTTACGGGCAATGCCACTCCAGAAAATCTATAAATAGAGTCCTCATTATTCACAAGAGAGGATCCGAGCAAGAGAGAGAAGAAGAGAAGAGAATGAAGAAGAGAAGGAAGAAGTTCCTCCTCGACAGCCGCCGGACCACCGCAGGAGCACCGCAGGAACCTCGCCGGACCACCACCGGAGTTTCATCGCACCACCACCTTAAGGCCCGACATTCAGACCCGACGTCCTGCTTAAGGCCCGACATTCAGACCCGACGTCCTGTTGAAAACCAGACGTTCTACTCAAAGCCCGACGTCCTGCTAAAGGCCCGACGTCCTGCTCAAAGCAGGATTATCAACACCCGAACTTCCAAGTGATTTCAGGCATAACACCCGACTTCTATCAAACAGTTACTGATTGTAAATCTAATCACCCTGTGAGGGGATTCAGTTCTTTGTAACCGACTCAAATTATAGTGGATTTATTTCAACTTGGCTAGGCCCCGTGGTTTTTTCCCTTTCTAAGGGTTTTCCACGTAAAAAATCTTGATTTCTCTGTGTGTGAGCTAGTTATCCGTACAACGCTAAGACGTAGAATTAAATCTCTATCGACCCGTATTTTCTAGCCCGCGACAATACTCATAATTGATTGAGATGATTATTATTATTTTCTTTGAAATTAGTATGATATAATACCAATCAATGGAATTTTATGTTATATTTATTTTAAAAGTAATTTTGATAATTAGAAAAGCTATCATAATAACATTTAAATCAGGATGTTCTGATTGAAAATTTAAGTTATCACACAAGTTTTTCGAGTTTCGTATTATTCGGACTTATTTCGATGGTTTTCAAAAATGCATAATTGTGATCTAATCTTCGAAGATTTTAAAATTTAGTGTAAGTTAGACTTTTACAGTAACAATTTTAATTATTATTATTATTATATGCAAGAATATTTGTGTTGATAGAGAAAAAAATTATTTAATGTATTAGCTTTGTACAAATACCTAACACCTACATACATATATAGACAAAAAAAGGTCGCAAGAGCAAAAAATTAATGGTCTTTCTCCCATAATGTGGGGTCGGCTATATGAATTCTTTTTCTCTATTATGTTTTATTAAGAATCATATTCTCATTTAATTACATCTAATAAAGAATGATCATTTCTAATACTTTCTAACAAAAAACTTTTTAGTTCTTCATCCATCTTTCATAATATAGGCCAGATTTAATATATCTGCTTGGATCATTGGAAGGCCAATATTTTATGTGACCAAATCATCTAAGGGGACTCTCTCTAATCGTATATGCTACTAAAACTATTTTAAATTATTTTAGTACACTTTTTTTTTTTAATTTTATAATAAAATTATCATAAGAAAAGTCATTAATTAAGAGACATATGAAGTGTTGGGTATTAAGAACACATTGGCAGTAATCGAAGTTCGAGTTGCCAAATCCTCCCTACAAATGGACATTAAAAAGAAGATTAGTAAATTTATTGAAATAATTATTATTATTTTGTTCAATTTAGTTCAAAAGCTACTTAGAAAGCGGCATGAGAAATAAATATTTTATTTTATCTTTTAATAGTGACCAAAATACTTTATCTTTTAACTTTAAAAGTAAGTAGATAAAATAAGAGAAAATTTGTCAAAATCTTATAAAATTAGTTTATGACATACATACTTGCTATAATTTATTCGTTGAGATCAGATA